TGCAGCTCAGGCTGGCAGGAAGTGTCCCGGGAGAGCTGCTGAGCGTACCGCTGCTCTGACCAATGCAGGAACATGCCCCACAGGAAGCACCACGACACCAGGACCTCCCATCAGGAGACCTTCCCCCTACACGAGAAAGCTGAAGCAGCCCCCCAGCAATGCACACAGCAGCATCCCACTCATCTCAAGTCATATGTACTCAGTGAGCCTTGATGCCATATCTAGCAAGACCTCTCCCGGCACTTACAGAGCAGCTCTGGTGCCCACAGCCACCACGCAGCATCAATGCCAAATCTACCCCTTTAGCCACCATCAGCAGCTGTGACTATTTTTTTCCCCATTTTCATGAGTCGGGCTGCTCTGATATTTGTTCACAACATGGGCTGTGTACAGCAGCGGAGTGGGATTACTTACTGCCAATTACTACGTTAAAGTTCAAGTGGAACGATGTACTAATTGCCTTGTTATAGCTATTAAAGCTATGTTATGCAAGCAAGGCGCTCTTAAGAGTATCTGTAAGCTGCACGGTGATACGTGAGGTATAAAAGTGATCTGCTAGGAACTGACTGCTGATACAATCATCGCCTGTTTAATAACATAAATTACATATGTAGTGAAAAAGAACAAAACATCTCCTGCTCAAGCTTTGCTGGGGGCTCTGCAAACTACTGAAATCAAATGGTCGCCAACTGCCTATCCACCGAAACAAAAGCTTATACACCACATGCAGCAAACCTGAACTTTAAAAAGCACCATAAAAACAGCAAGAAGTAGAACTCCTACAAAGGAGGGGAGAGGAGACATCTCCTCCCAGCAATATTACAACCGGGCCTTCTTGCTGGCTGGCAGCAGGCATTTCAATCTTGTGTGCTTTCCCAGGGTCTGATCCTGGTGTCTGACAAGGGAAGCCAAGGGAGAGCTCCTGGGAGATGTCATGCAACACCAAGCTCTCTTGCATCTTTGCCGGGAGCTAATTCACTGCTGCTTAGCAGGCTTGCAGTCAGACAAATGTGTGAGCCACTGCTGGGATGTGCAGCTGGGAGGTGATGTGAATGGCACCGCAGCTTCCTGCAGCTGGGCAGAGAGAACAGCCTGCTGCTCCACACTTCCCACCATCATGACAACAACCACCTCCTGGATCATGGTCAGATGCTTAGATGGACTCATCCCCTGTGTGGTGCAGACCTGTTAAATTCACCCCAGCCCCAGATACTGATGCCCCTGGGCTCCCTTTGCACAGAGATTGCAGCCCTCCCCACAGCACCAGAAGGCACCTCAGTCACTGCTGTAGGACCAGAGCAAGGACAAAGACCTCCAGCTGTTTCTTGAAAGGCTCCTTTGCTGGTTCAGGTTGAGGACACAGGCAGAGCAAGTGCCGTGGCCAGCATTTTTCATTGTGGTTGGCTGAAAAGTTTCACAGATTAGGGGATATAACCTGGGGAAAGAATCCCCTTTCTGTGCCAGGAAAACACACAGTCTAAGCCTTTCACTGTGCGGGAGAGGATGAGGATTTGGGGGCCCTATTCTAACACCCAGTAAAGTCAGTTGAAATATTTCTGATTTTTTCCAGTGGGCCCAACTACAGAAAGTCTCATGCTTAAGAGCTTGCTTAGCTGTAAACTCAACTCTCCAAGAACCCACTCGGATTCCTACTTCCGTTTTTCTGTTTTGCTTGGGAAAAGGAGGCAGATAAGTCCTGAGTTTCAGAAACCATCATTGTTTTCTTTCCAACTACTTGAAACCATAACTTAACTTTATCAGTAACTCAGCCTGGTACAGCAGTGGTACCAGCCACTGCAAAACAGGCTGGGTGGTCTCACCACGGACTGAGGGAATTAATGCTTTCAGTTTTAATAACATCACATCAAAGTGAGGGCAGAGCAATGAACTTACTTCAGCATCATTTTTCATAGGACATCTGGAAAAGAATGAGAATTAAAGTAGCATTTTACAGAGACAGCAATGAGGAATTCAGTAATATTCAGGTCTAAATAAACTCCTATAAACTATTTAAGTTAAGCTCCAGCTTGGATATGTCTCACAGAGACTTCTCATCATGCTAGAAGTAAGTCACAACTATAAATGGGAAGCTTTTAATAAGGAAGCTTTTAATTGCAATAACATGCAAGCTAACCAAACGAATGCCTTCCACACAACTTCAGCTCCAGCTTTGTCTTGTTAACCAGGGCCCAAGCTTGGCCTGGGTCTCCCTGCAGCCAGTTGGGACCTCTAAGGCAGCACAACTCAGTGCACAGAAGGCTGTGCCTGCTGGTAGGGCTGAAGCTGTCTCCCCCAGCCCCAATAAACCAGAGGTGATCCGGAGCAGGTGTTCCCATGCACTCTCAGAAAGGAAAGAAATATGCCCAGAGCCAGCAGGACTCACACTGGTACCTCCACGGTCCGAGCACTAAAAGCAGTCCGCCAGCAAGCCTCTTTTAACGCATCAGCGTGTGCTTTAGAGCCCCGCGGGGCACACTGACTCAATTACCAGATGATGCGGACTCCTCACCAACCCATCCCCTAATAATGAACAGACCTGCAGGTTCCAAATCTTTAAGAGGAAGGAAAGCACCACCAAATAGATTAGCTCCACAGTTGCGCTGTTAATTATGGGTCATTTAGTTCAGTTAATCAATAGGCAGACTTCTTTAACCGGCTAATTACGCCAAACTGCTTCCACAATGAGCAGGTTTGCTGCTAGTTGTTAACCATGAAGGGATAATATTTCACTGTAAAGATAAGGACAGTCCCAGTGCTCAGACAAATGCTTTGCAGCCCTGGAGTTTGCACTGTCACTGGCTGCAATTTAACCCGTTCCACACCAAGCAGAGGCTTATGGCCAGGTAAAGAGGTGTCAGCATCAGTGGCTTCTTGCTGCTAAACTATCAGGGAAACACCACGCCATCTCCCAAATGAATCACTCAGATCATTTACTCGCCTCACCTAGGCTAAACAGGAGCTAAAAGTAATCTGTGCAAACCAACCAGCTGAACTTCTTTGTGGTATCCTAAATAAAACTAACCAGCCCGTATTACCTTTCAGGCCATGGATATAGTTCCCTCCTTTGCTTTGCCAGTTACAAGAGACATCTCCCAGCCAAGGCAGGAGACTGGAGATGCAAACCACATCCTCCAACTGGACCCTCAAAGAGCACATCAGCATGCAGAGGAGGGCAAGGCCCTTGGCTTGTCAAAACAGACAAAAGGTCAAGATGACCTCTTTTTACTTGCAGTTGTTTAGAAGAAGGAAAAAAAAAAAAAAAAAGGATTTTGTTGCACACTTGAAGAACTGATTACTGGATTCAAGGCCCCTATTGAGGTCATCAAGTAGTTATTGCAATAGAGAAAGATAAGAGCTGAGTGATAGGAAAAGTTTGTAGTTGAATTTCCTGGAGATTTGTTTTAACAGAACAAAACAATTGGTGCCTGGGGTTTGCTAGCAAATTGCTTTAGCCAAAGAACAGCTTGCTGGGTGAGGATTCTCAACACAGCACCCTTAGAGATTTTGAGATGCTTCCTCTAACTTGTCAGGGTCTCCACTCCCAGTCGTGGAGCTTCAGGTGTCCCACCCGCAGCCCCACAGGATGACAACAGCAATAGCACACTGCTCAGGGTGCCACCAGCAGTGCATGAAAGTCATCCAGAAGTCAGCAGAAGCAAGTCACAGTTCCTGTCCTACTTGTATCCCCTGTTTTTATTTCCCCATTGTATTTCCCCTTTTTAACCCCCATCAACTGGCAAACCAGACCTTGGCTTTTTTACTGCTTGAGAAAGTCTATTAATGAAGCATTATTGTAAAAAAGAAATGCAAATGCAAGCTTGGTGGTAAGCGTTTGCTAAAAATTTATCTCCCCAGGAAAGTCATACTGTTGTAACTACACCAGGATGACTAATGTAGTTTGATGCTGTTGTAAAAACACAACTAAAGAATCAAATAAGCTATACCAGTTAAGACACCGTTAACTAGAAGGGAGCTCAACGTGACCATTCAGAACAACTTCAAATTAAATCTCTGCATGTCTAATTCAACCCGTTACACCAGTACAAAACCAGCTTGTTCCCCAACTCTGGAAGAGGAAGCTTGCAGTGCACTGGTAGTGCAACAGTGGATGGCCCATGAACTGTCTGTGACACCTCTGTTCCCATCTGATGACCTTTTTGTGACCACTTCACTGCACTCTTAGCCACAATGGATCTTAATAGCTACAAGCAAGCAAGAAGTTTGTTGCAGATAGAAGTTCTGTCTGTGTTCTCTGTCATCTCGTTGGCACATGGGAGCTGTATTGTTTTAAAAAGAAACCAAGCTAAAATTCAACAACACTTGCCTGCAATTAGCTCTTTCAAAAATACATCGTTGGAGCAAAAGCTGTGTGTAAGCTTTTCAGTTTTAGACATTTTCTAACCTCCTCACGTGTTTACTAACACATTAAAATGATTGCAACATTGATTGGAAAAAAATGGATAACAAGCTTACAGAAAAGAGGGGGCTTTGCTCAATCACAAAATCTGAAAGCGGTGATAAGGTTTGTATCCTGAGGTGACGTGTTAACCAGCCACAGCAATTTCCAGTTGGAAGGGCTGCAGTCAGATTTCAGAGGAGCTTGGGCAGAGCTGCAGGATCCAATTCCAGGCTAACACCAGGTTTCCTCTGGAAACAGAGCTATTGAGATCTGAAACCACTCCTTGATAGTACTATAAAATATTGTACACTCCCACATGCAACCCATTTACTTAACTTCAATGCATTGGTCAGGAGCTGGAATTTCAGTCTAGAAATTGGGAAACAGAAGCTTAATAGTTTGTGTTGGAAAAGACTGTTTTTAGCCAGATCACTAGAAAAGAATGGGACAAAGAGCATTCCTTTGGGACAAGCAGTGCTAGATTGCAAATGTGATTCATGGAGACATTTGATCTGATGGCACATCAAAAAGCAATGGTAAATTACACATCTTCAATAAAAAAACCATTAAGTCATAGATGCTTGGCCATGTAGTAAGGCAATTAGACTTCAGCATTATTTGTTAAACAGGCATAAGATGATACAGAGTGAATTTTTTGCAATAATAGCCATTCCTGGTTATTCATTCTGAAGAGAATAAATCTGTCACTTGAGTGAAAACAATTGACAGCACCATTTATTACCTTGCACACTGCAGAATAACAGCACAATTTACATGTTGCCCTTTGGCACCGGGACTCTCAGCTTGCTTAGAAACAAAGCAAAAATATCTACAGACCTGGTAGTAAGGATTTAAGCAGCAGCTGACCTTATGTGGGTTATTTAAACCTCTATAACGACGCACTCTTGTTCAGCCTCTAGTTATCAGGGAAATAGGTTCTTCTGGGGAATCCACAGCCTCTGGATGCTGAAACACAAAGGGTCATGCAGAGGTCTCAGTATCTGATAGTTCAGAGAGTAACAGTTTAGCTCTGATCCTCTGAGATGTCTCCTGGGAATTAAAGATATTTGGTTTCCTTTCAGAGGCTTTAAAGGGCTGGACCCATCATAAAGAAGGGAATTTTTCCCTAGCTCACGGAGATAAATCTTTGCGCTAAATCTTAGCTTTCTTCTTCATATAAAGGCCAGACTCTTGGTACCTCTAGGCCATTTAGCCCACTGAAAAACAAGCCAAAAATAATAAGGGAAACACTGTGTTGCTGTAATAGAAAATAGCCAAAAAGGAGTCCAAATGCCTTAAAATGCTGCCCTTTATAGTAACATCTCTGCAGTCTTAGCTGTTGCCTTGTATGTGTTTTTATGAAGGTTTAAAGGTTTCCTATGGTACCTGTTACCAACACATGAGACTTTCTATTTGGGATCAATTATAATGGAGTTCAAGAAGTGTGCAGACAATTTTGGAAGGACATTTTAAGCAGGTATTTGATTTTTGAATCCAACAGAAATATTTAGGCAAACAGCTATTATAAGCTTCTATCAAGCACCTCTGTATTAATTCACAGGCAAAAAGCTGTCCAGAATGGATCAACTGGAAAATGTTCTACTTTCACCCTTATGGGGTTACACTGTGGTTTCAAGATTAGAAATGGATGTGGGATATAGTGCCCATGGCAACTAGGCACTGGAGAAGCTTTCTGCCTGTTCTAGGTCTCCGTAACTCCAGCATGCTGAAGCAAGGGCCAAAACACATTGCTTTTCCCCATCACAAAACCACTGTTTAGCAGCATCCAGAACAGTTCCTGATGGTTCACATCACTCTTCCCTTTGGCAACAACTCTCCAAGTTTGCAGAAAGGGCAGGCCAATACCTTGTAATTCTCTCTTTCATTATGTTTAAAATTTAGAATGGGTAATGTTTATTTTAATTTTCCCAACTGTTTGACAGCACAAAGCAAGGTCAAGAGACTGACTGTTTATTAAGAAACTCCATTATTCCTGAGAGCTAATCTACACATTGTAAAATCCTAGAGAGATTAACACAGCTGCTGGCAGCACTTATGCTCTTCTTGAGCACCAACCTTATGCCTTTGTGCTTCCTCCCACAGCATCGAAGTCTTTGCAGAACTCTGAAGAAACTGTCACTCTGAACTGTCCTGTTCTCAGCACCTGTACCAAGTTAGAAGAAAGTGAGACCTCAGTTTTCAGTTATATTAAGGGAAGATTTTAGTACTTTACTGTTACAGAACATTTCCAAAGATTGAAGCCATATCTCATTTCTTAGCTTTTTTTTCTCTCTCTAATTCTTGAGGATGCTAACATATAATCAAAATGTCTTTTTCCTTTTTTCTTTTTCTTCCCCCTTTTATATATATATATATATATATGTATATATATAGTTGTCATCAATCTGTAGTTACGTTGTCAAATAAACTGCTGATACAGGTATATCATTTGCAGTAATGTCTAGCAATACTGAGAATGGAGTTTCACTTTTTTCTTTAAACACTGCAGCACAAAATTCCACCTGATTTACGTGTTACTTCAGTGTGCCAAAAATACCCTAATCTAAAACCTCCATTCAAATGAACCAAGTGACAAAAACATTCAAAGATCCTGGGCAGCCCAGAACCACAAATGTCCATACCCTGTCTATAGGAGCAGACCAGAAATCACCAATGAACCTCAACCCCTTACTACAAACAGCAAGCATCTGGAGGCTGAAATTTCTCTCTCTCTCCATTAAAGACCAGAAAAGAAGAATCTAGGCAGGAGTTATTTAACCATTTGTTCATTCAGTGGAAACAGCTTCTCTTAAAAGGAGCCATGGCAAGGCACTGCAGATGCTTCACATTTTTCAGACTGTTCTTTGCAGTCAGATGTGCAAATGTTTGGAAACCCCATGCAAAAGGATTTGGGTTTTTCTTTGCCACTCCCCCAGTCCAGAAGCATTTGTTATCTTCCTCAGGTCTGACACAGCAGTCCTAAAGAGGAATTACACTAATTTGGGTACAGCTTTAGAAGATGGAGGGGCTAGATCTCCTCACCTTTGGAGTTCTCTTAATTAAGCTAAAACTCTTTATCCTGCTCTCTTCCTTTTATCTCTTGCTCTCCACATCTACCGCCTTCTTTAAACAAACAAAATTTGGCAACTGATGAAGCTGCACAGTGCCAGGCTTGTGGGGCAAGCAGAGGTCACCTATCCTATCTCTGACTATGGAGTCTGAAAGCAGAGTACTTAGCGTTATTAGCTTTTCTGCATGAGTGATCAATCCCAAATTGGACATACGGTGCCATGGACACACTGATAAAAGTTGCATTTATTTTTTCTGAATGGGCTATTTACTACTTACTTGTGACTGCAGTAGCAGTCTGCAAGCTATACTTCAGTGATATGCTGCTATCATACTTTGCGATAAGGCTGAAACCATTAGGCAGGCAATAAATAAATAAAAAAGAGGAAAAGTCCTCCTGTAAATGCTAGGGGAATACGTTAAGGCGGTCTGGACACATGCTTAAAGAGATGATACCCCTGAATTCCCTCTCTGTTCCCAGGCCTACTCCTGCTGCATCTGTGCAGGGATATATGAAGACATAAAACAGGCTCCTACCTATTTTAGGCAGGTATTGTGGGATCCAGCTCCACCCACACAGGATTCATCTAAGAGGTTTTACAGCAGGGAGGGCCAAATGCTGCTTATCTTTCTCCAAACGCTTGGGAATATCAAAATTCCCACCCCTCATGTAGCTTTCCTTCACAGACCCCGCCTCACAGTGAAGGCCAGTATCCTTCAGCTTGCTTTACAGACGGGAACTTAAGCCCATTCCCCCTCGTTCTGTCTGTTCTCCCACGTGCCTGGTGACAGAACGAGGGGGAATGGGCTTAAGTTGCGCCAGGGGAGTTTTAGGTTGGATGTTAGGAAGAACTTCTTTACTGAAAGGGTTGTTAGACACTGGAACAGGCTGCCCAGGGAAGTGGTGGAGTCACCATCCCTGGAGGTCTTTAAAAGACATTTAGATGTAGAGCTTAGGGATATGGTTTAGTGGGGACTGTTAGTGTTAGGTTGAGGTTGGACTCGATGATCTTGAGGTCTCTTCCAACCTAGAAATTCTGTGTGATTCTGTGTGAAGCCCGAGTCACAGTCATGCTCTGCCCAGCACCACAGTCTGAGTTTCCCTGAAATATTGCTGTGGGGCTTTGCTCACTAGCAGAGTTTTTAAAAACAACAAACACCAGATGAATCATATTAAAGTTCAGATGACCTTCACTGCAGTCTAAGAGACTAACTGACACTAACGCCCACACAGCCTGCAAGGTGATGGGAAATGATAGCCTGGCTTTGACACACGGTCCTCTCGGTGCCTTTTGCTGTACAGACGACCTTCCTTTGCTTTTTTTCTGCTTCCTGCTGAGCAGGGAACATGCAGACAATGGGACAGCTCCTTACCAATTCAGGGCCAAGCTGCTGTTCCTGAAGGTGACCATGAGGCCTAGAGCAGACGTAGCTGGGCCTTCCTGCTTCACAAGTATCTAGAAGGAACCGAAAGAAGTCGTGTACTAGGAGCAGGGGACTGGGAGCAGGCCACTGGCCCAGCTCTGGTCATAGCCTCTTACAGCATGAGAGAAACACCCATTTCTTTAAAATACTCCCTCAGCTTCTTTTTTCTTGTTTCAGTTCCCTCCTCTGTACTACCCTTCACCACCGCAGGCCTCATGGCAGGCCTCAAGTGCTGAGGAGCCGGCGGCCAGGCAAGCTCAGGTCACTTCCCCACGTACAGCCGGCACACGGCAGCAGCTGCCCGGCCCCAAGCACTTCTGCCACAGCATCTGCTACCCCACTGCTGGTTCTCAGAAAGCTCCCTTTATATACGCAACATCTTCACGTGACAAACATGCCAAAGTACACTAACATATCTAGGTTACTTTGCTCCAGAAGGGTTTTCTGCACTCACACACATGAAAACCTTCACACAGATGCTGAGGGTCAATGTCCCATCTGAGAACTGTGAACCCAAAAGCAGCACCACAAGAGCCAGACCCTGGATGAAACAAGATGCAGATTTTCCCCTCACCAGAAGCCTTCACTTAGATAGTCTTAAACCCACCATAAAATCTCAGCCCGAATCAAGTATACCCTCTTTGAACATCAGAAGAGTATTTTCATCTACAGATTAATTAAAAAAAAAAAAAAAAACTATTCAAAATGAGAAAAATATTTCCATTTCAGATGGTTTTACAAGTTGCTCCAAGTAGTTTGCAGCCCAGCAATTTGAAATGTCTGCTCTTGCAAAGCTGTCTACATTTTTTGGCACAGATTAGTTTTCCGCTGCAAATCCCGTGTGATCAATCTGTTCTTCAGGCAGTGAAAGGCAAACTAGGAAGCCCAGTTGCAACAGAAACCGATGGGAATCTTTTCACAAGTTTTAATAGGAGATGAACTAAGCCCAGGGTTAACTCAAGACGCTGGAACAATCCACAGCTTAAGACAGACGCGTAAATGCTTGGGATGCCAGACGTCAGGAAGGGACTGTAATGACCAACCTCTCCTACCCCAGACACCGATGCTCCCGGCGCTGCCTGACCAGCACGGCCGCTCATAGCCCACCCTGGCTGAGGGCTCCTATAAATGAGAGCTGCATCCGACAGACCTGGGTCTTGTGGGTTCGTTACGGTTAATTATTGCAGCCGCCTCCAGGCCGATCGATAAATGAATACAAACAGGGCATACACACTCGGACCATATGTGCAGTGCATCTTTTATGGGAGCCACAACTAGCAGCGTGCCGGTGTCTGTCAGTTTGCTTAACGCGCCCCACGTGCAGACCACCCACGCTCTGCAGCCCGTGAAACACGCGCATGCCAATGAGGATCGGCTCTGCACCAGAAGGGATTAGGAAATCTCATAACTACATGTTCCTCACGGCTTCGCCCTGACTGCAGAGATGGCATAAACTATAGGAGACAATGTCAAGGGAGAAAGTGTACCTGGGTCTCTGATAAATCACAGGAATGAGACACTGCGTGGGTCACCTTGCTCAGCTCCCTCGAGAGCTGCTGGCTGCGCCAGCACAAGGCTGCCGCCTCACCAGTGTGAGTGCTTCCAGCAGGCATCCTCTGTGAGCTTGTTAGCAAACCAAGCCCATCAGCACTGCCATTTTCCAAGCCAGACATTTGAATCATGAAATCATAAATAGGGCTGATCAAATCATAACTAATGTGCGCGACAGCTTTCACTGCTCACTCTTCTTTGTCTCTCACAACAGGAACGAAAGTGGATGCGGAGCTGAAACATGAAGCCCACAACATGTCACAGCTTCAGAGGCGTTACTGGGATTTGCTGGGCAGTGAACACACTTCTTGTAGTGTGATGTAAAACAAACTGAAAAGGTTCTCAGACCAATGGTAGACAGCTACAACACATCCTATCCGCCTGAGCTCAGCAGTGAGGGACGTGGTGCAGATAATCCCAACGCACAGCAGGCAGGAGCTGTGCAAGGAAGAACTGCAACAGGGGAGAAGGGAGCAGCATGATGCTGTCCAGCTAGGTGTAAATGAGAATCACGGGGAAAGCATATTTCTGGGCTATAACCAGGAAAAAAAAAAATCATAAAAATTAAAGCAACTGCTAAAATCAGCTAGAGCCAGGGAAACATACTTCCTTTCTTCATCTGCAAGACAAGCATTAACAGTATTTCCTTACCTGACAGAAAAGCCCAAGGCATTTCAGTTAACAGTTCAAAAACACCTTCTGGGTCTCCAGGTCAATACTCAGGGAAACAAAGGCTGTTTCCCCAAGGTGGGAGCACTTGGTGTTGGACTCTGCTGCTCCACAGTGCAGCCTCCTAGATGAGAGGATCTGGCACCTAGATGAGGCTAAGCTCATCCACAGTTACCTGAAAACAATCACAGGTAAACCAACGCAGCTATGCAAGATCCACCACAGCAGTTACCCCCCACAAAACCTGAGCCACCAAGCCATGGCACCACCTCTCCCCTTAGCACGTCCCTCCCACACCCAGCCTTCAGTGCAAGGTGCAACCCTGAAGTGTGGCAGGGCTTGCAATCACACGAGCAGCCCACCCAAAAGAGCGGATACCCTTCTAAAAATAGCCCTTCTGCGTCAGGTTGGGTTGTAAAAATCAGGTCCAAAAACACTGATGGGGTTATTTATATGAATAACAAATTAATGATAGGTTTTTTGAAGGAAAATTGGTATGGGAGGAGATGGATTTTCCAAAATGTCAGAACATTTTGTTTTGACATTTTTCAAAATGAAAATGTTGACATTTTGCAAGAAAAAAAAAATAATTTAGATTTTAGTTTAATGTTAAATGTGGACTCATCAATAAGAAAACTCAACAAAATAATCCATTTTATGTCACGCATTTTACGTCTTGGCTAAAAATTAATTTGGGTTTGGGATATGTTTAATTAATTAAACTCTTCTGGAAAGTACCAGTTTCAGCTGGCCTAAAGTGATACATCCCAGTTTATATGTTCAGCCACTGAGACAGAAATTCTACACTTGAATTAAAACAAGGTGGGAGAAGATAAACCAGCTTGCAAGAGCAGCCTTCACTGAGATACAAAGAACAGGCTGGGAGAGGGAGGGAAATGTGCAGGACTCACCAGCAGAGATCACAGGGGAGAAACGAAGAAAATGGTGTAGAAGTGCACCGAACCCATCAGAAGGGGAGAAAGGGTTTGGATTAAAGTACTGGTGAGAAAGTGTGATACAGAAGGGGCTTTACGAAAATGTCTTAATACCCATGTATCCTCAGGCTAAGCCCAGCTTCAGAAGATATAAATGCTTAAATAAACATGAGTCAATTTATTATTCCTCTGTGTTTCAGAACTTCCTCACCTTCTGCCTGGCTCATTTACTGCAATTAAATGCTTGTAAACAGATTATACCCTGAAAGCTACATTTTCTTGGTAAGTGGTCACCTCAACCTCCACTGCTTTGGCTATGGCTAATATTCCCCAGGTCACACTATAATCACTGAATAATAGGACCAAAATGAATCACTGGGTCAGTCTGTTAACAAAACTGTCTCCAGTATCCAAACCACGTAAGCAACTATGCTCTGCTGATTACTGAGACAAGCACTGCTTACACGGTCAGGAAAAAAATTAGTAATGTCATCATACTTAAATAAATTTTTTTAAAAAATTGTCCTGAACACAGGACATACATGTGCTGCCATATTAAATCAGTAAGTGTAATAATGAACTCTAATCTCATCTAGTTTTGCTTTCTTGTTGGTTATGGTGTGTACACATTGTGAAACCAGCAAAGTGGAGCCTGCTGTGAAACAGTGTAATTTTCTGGAAATGTAGATAAGCTTCTCCAAGCTATTCTAAGAACTGGGGTTTGGTTACCTTGTTTTTAACTTAGTCCAAAATAAGCTGCAGCACTACCTATATAGGCAGGGAATAACTGCAAGAGCAGCAAGAGGACCCACTAACAAGACTGACTTTTTTAATGCTTTGTTTGTTTTTAGTGGCGAGATCTGAGCTGAAATACTACTGACAAGGACAAAGTTTATTACAGCTTCTCAGATGGGAAGCAGGTTTTGAGATGGTGTAGATTAGTGTGACTCCACTGAATCAAGTGGGGTTACCAGTTTATAGTAATTGGTAGTCTTAGCCTGTATTTTCTGTCCTCCTTGGCACTGACTCTGTCAAACTGCATCGATTGTCTCTACTAGGAAAAAAAAAAAAAAAAAGAAAAGAAAAAAAAAACACAGCAGGTGATAATAAATATCCCTCCCACATTTAGATTAGAAGTTCTTGCTCTCTCCTGAACTGGATTATGCAGGTCATTTCTCCCCCAAATTTGTATACCCCTCCTTTCTTCCTGCTGCCCGTCCCTCCCCCCCCCCCCCCCCCCCCCAAAAAAAAAAAAAAAAAAAAAAGACAACTGAAAAAAATGATCAAGAAAGGTGAAGCTGTCATGAAAAAGAAACACACAGCCCTAACTGAGCTTGTAGCATGAGTGTCACAAATGTCACAGCCCAGCAGTGTGCCCTTGTGGGTTGGTTTCTCTATGCCCCTTTGGAGAAGCAATGTGAAAATAGACGCGTGCTCTCCCCCAGGCCAACACACAGCAGAGAGGAAAAGGAGGCCATTGCATGCAAGTCTCTACAGGAAGCCAGTTGTATATATTTTTACATAATAATCTCTATTCTGAGCTTTATGAAAAGTTCATAAGAGGAAAGGAACAGAAAGTCACAGTGACAGTGCAAGTAAAACTCAAAGATGCAGAGCGGTACTTAGCAGTGTTTACCTGCTCCAGCAATTCTGATCCCAGGGCAGAGTGCTGAAGATTAGCTCCAGACCTCATTAGGCAGGATAGAATTATGTGGGATAACAAAGTAATACTCGGCTTTCTTTTGCATTTTAAAAGTGGCTTGAGACCTATAAAATCCCTTTGAATTTTATTAAAAGTCTTCCGCAATCATTTTTCATCTTGCAACCCTGTTGAGCCGAACTAATAAATTAGCATGTTATCTGCGTGGATATCCATTAGAGCTTCAAATGAACATTATTAGAGCCAACAAACTAACAGCGCTAGTTCCAAGTGTGGAGAAGGCAGGCTGGTCCACCAAGCAATGGGTACTGAGGATAATGGATGAGGGCACATCTGCCCCATGAGCCCCCAGGAGATGGGCAGTGTGAAGAGCTTCTCCAGCTGTCAAAAGGGCAGGCTTTGGACACCCCAAACAGGCAGCAAGAGGCAGCAAGCCAGGCAGGAACTCACGAGAACTGAGTACTGTATGAAGGCTTCAGTAAAGGCTCATCGGGCTTGTCCTCATTGCAAAGTCCAGGCAAATTTTAGCTCACAATACACTGGAACCCGCTGCCCACAAGTTCTGGCTACAGATAAACCGTGTGTTTCAAGTGAGTTGTCTGCTTTGGCTCAAACCCTGCTCAGTGTGAGAAGGCCACAACAGGAACACAAATCTTGCAACCTTCTAGCTGCTACAGCTCCAGGCAGCATAGTGGCAGATAAGATTTGAAGCTGGACTGATATGTTCATACTTGGCATCAGCTCCCCCCATGCCTTTTGCTTTTCTTCCGATGCTGACACTGAAGGCAAGAAGGCAAGCACAGTGTGATACTTTTTGGCTCCTTTGCAAATCTCGTGAACAAACAGACAAACTTAAAAATAATAATAATAATAATTTGGGGTGTGAAAAGCAGGTGTCATTTGGAAAGCAAGTGCTGGGAGATTGTCTTTTTAATAAGCTTTATCAGCAGTGCTCTTGGCCTGCGAGTGCTGTTTGCTCAGTGGAAGCTGGCAGGATGCCGTCTGCCCCTCTTGCTGTCCTGAGCCCTGGAGGGCAGCAGGTGCCAGATCCAGGCCCAGCAAGGTAACTGCAGCAAACGGCCAGGCAGAGCTGCCACAGCCCCTGCACGCCCCTGCCAGTCCCCAGCACAGAGCCAGAACTGCACGCCCTGTCCTCCTCCTCCTCCCATGTGCCCTCACTAATTTATTTCTGTCCCCTGCCTTTGGGCAGCTGCTTGCCCACACGAGCAGGAACCTGGCTGCTGAAGCACCAAAACTCCTTCAAAAGACAACTTCCCCCCAAGCAGGTGCAGGAGAGAGAGTGCAGAGGTAGGGGAATTTCCTTGCTCTTCAAGGTGTATTTCTGGGATTATTTCCCCCTCCCAGCCACTCTGATTCCCACGACCCCGTCTCCAAAAGGGCAGGCAGCCCAGGTGCGTCCCGCAGGGCGCTGTGCAGCCAGCCGCTGCAGCTGCTGACGTTTCGGCTTCCCTCGGAGAAAGCTAATCACAAGGCAGGGATTTAAGGGAAATGTCATCACATGCTGCCTGGTTCACTGAACTACAGCAGCTTGGTCATGCTTCCCTGGACTCTTTCTCTCAACACTAAAGCCGTGGATCCCTCTTCCAGAGCTCCAGTTCCTGCAGCCCCATCCCATGTAACCACCACCCTGACAAAAATACACACTATGTATTCCTCTATCCCCCCTCCCCCCCCCCCGAAAAAAAAAAAAAAAAAAAGAGAGAGAGAAAGAAAGAAAAAGCTCCCTGTACGAGTTGAGCCTCATGATATGCTACATGCTGCCCAGAGTGAATTTCAAATCTCTTCGCTGCTGCTCTTCCCCTGGGGTCATGCAGACACCATTTTAGTGTGTCTTTATTTCCAGCCTTCCTCCTCTTTATCTAATTCTCTTTCACCTCCCACTCCTATCCTTTATTACTCTTCTTCTATTCTTTTCTAAGAGGAAAATGTTTCTTTTTACTCTCAATCTCTGTTCTTTCCTTTCCTCCTGTCATTCCCTTCATGTCTCATCCACGATGGTATTTTTGTTCATGCAATAACTAGTTTGCTCTTTCTCCTCTTCCTGCTGGGCTACTTTGATCTACTGTTCCTGTGCCTGTTTTACACATCCCTTTTCTTCCCGCCAAAGACACATCAGTCTATTTCCCATCCCCTCCTCCTTACTCATTTCTCTTTTCCTGCTCTGATCTATTCTTGCTACACCAAACTTGTTTCATGTGTAGATAACTTTAAAATCTGCTCTGCTGCCCCAGTGAGCATTGCAGTAACTACAGGAGGATACGTCTGTCAATCCAGTCACCCTAAGCCAGGATTCAACACCCCTCCTTATCCATGCTCTATTGAGAAGGAAAACCCAGCCCTGGAGCCTTTAGAAGGACAACAGCTCAGTCACTTGCAGGTTCAGCAACACATCATGCTGCAGCAGAGATCTGGAAAAGCCCCAAAGACCTGTGCCAGCCACTGCATGGACCTTAGCAGGAGGAGTGCCAGCTGACATGAGTGGGCCTTTTATTGTCCATAGTCAAGGAAATCCCCTGAAAATGAATACACCTCACTTGTAGCCCCATGGGAGCACAGAGAGAGGAACTTTGAGCTGTATGCTCTCAGTTACAATAAATCACAGAGAGATTTGGTGTCGTGCAGAAGGGAGCCCGCTGGCCCCCAGCGCAATGGGAAACCTGAGGGTGAAAATTACTCTTCCCTTACACGACAGCCATTTACTAACCTGTCCTTTGCCCTGGGAATCTGTAAGCAAGGAGAAAGAAGAAAAGCCTAAAGATCATGCTTTGCCACCCTGTGCCAAGCAAGATAATAGGCGGATTCTGCAATATCTCTTCCAGGTGAAAACTCACTTCTACCTGACTTGGCCACTTTTGGGGGAAAGCAGATATACAGCAGGGAAAAAAAAAAATGACATGAGAACTGCTGCAATATTCCCTCCAGAGACTGAATAACACTTCCCTGGGGACAGGCATTGTGAAAGAAGGCCTTCTGCAGCTGGAGCACTTGGACGCAGAGCACAAATGGCATTTGGTGCCCAGCAAGTGCCCCCCCCACCTTAACTTGGGCTGGCTTCTAGGCTGTTTGCCCAGCTGCCTTACCTCCAGGATTTTATGAGCAGCACTTAATCTGAAGGTTGTAACACAGAGTTTTGGCAACTTCAGTTCACAGAACATCATCCAGTGATTTCATTAATACCACAGTGCTATGGGACTGGCAGAAACATTGGTATTAGGGCCTGGAAAGGAGAAGAAAAAAAGGGCTTACTACATTTTTATTTGTTCCAAAGAGAAGAATACAGGAATGTGGTGGTGTGCTTACTGTAAAAGGGCTGGCTTACCACTAAACTGAGTCTGAGTTACAAGACTCTGTTGATAACAAATGAAATTGTGAATTCACCAAAGTTGTTGCAGTAACAGTCCCAGAAACCCAGCCTTGCTTTCTTTCGCCTTGCACACACAGCCATGTGAATCAGCACTCCCAAGATGGTAACTGCATCCAGACCCATGCAAAGCCCAAAATTTTCCTCCCTGGTCTCCAGCCCCATATCCTCCAGGCTCACTATTGACAGCAGCCTGCAAGTGAGCTTTGTGTGCATTCAAGCACCCATGAAATAATAAAGGGGCCACAGCAATCTTTCTGTCATTTCAAAGGTCAGGTTCGGGCTGCCCTTTGCATGCCCCAAATCCAAACCTGGTTTGTGGCTGAGTAAAAAAATAATATGAGATGAAGCAACTCTCAGCAATTGCTTCACACATACTCACACACACACAGTGCATTGTTCGATAGTAATGGTCTGAAACATTGTACTTCCACAAGACTATAACAGCATCGCTTAGTGTCATTATACAGGGATAATGCAGCTCAGCTGGGCAGCATGAGGTTTGCTGGGTCTTCTTGCTGGGTCTTTTTTTTTTTTCTTGTTCTTCTTTCAGTACTGAAAGGAAGAACTAGAAGCCTCGTGAACTTTGTCAGCCCATCCTAAATAAGGCCATTGAAATAAAAATTACTCAGCTCAATCTCTGGGATCTCAATCTCTCTGTTGAATAAATACAGTCATTTGTATATACAGGGGAACAGTTCAAGTACCTGGCAAACATCTATTGCTATTTTGGCATCTAAGTGCACCTGCTGCAAGAGGGCACAGGTCTCCTGTGTCCTAGATGCCAAGTCCATGGCTGTATCTGAAATGCTCTAGGGCATCTAAAATGTCACAAGACACCTACATTTGGGCACCTGGTTCACTCCCCCATAGCTCCGCAATAGCAGGAGATGTAACATGATAAATCTCAATGTGCAGTCTCTCCTCTGCACAATTCCCAGCCCACCTCTGACCATGAGTATGTCAAGTCCTCACAAAATTAACTCTCGGTACCAAGCCAGTTGATTTGACTAGAAAGGTATAATAAATATTAATTAGTGTACATATGTATGGCATATATATAGTATATATTTGGGTCTCCCCTTTGAGGTGCTGCTTACCGCTTGTGGCCAAATTTCTGCTCTCAGATATAGTGACAACCTGTGGGCTCAGATCGGGCTATGGTCAAAGGTAGCAGGTGTTCTTAACTTGAAGTGACACAGGTTGATGGAGAAGAAAGATAATTTAATTATCTGACTCTGAACGGATCTTGTCATATAAGGAAACACCTTAATGTGGTGCCAATGGCAAATATAAGTAGATACCTTAATAGCTATCATCGCTGACTGAACCGTATGAATAACCAACACAATTGCTGTGCTAGAAAACAGTTTTTGACCTGCTGGTAACATTTCATTTTTAACTCAGCACTAGCCACAAAACATAAGTCTTTTGAACTTGGAAAGATATATACACAGCACATGCAGTGAACTCCTAGCCTTGAGGCTGAACGGTGCCTTACTTGGTGAAAATTGATTAGATTTGTCAGGTGAATAAAATTCTTTATTAAATTTGCCTGGTTGAAAGTATGCCTGTGTATTTTAGTTTTTCATTAGAGCATCACTGAATTTGTCTGAAGTAGTTAAGAATATCATAAGTGATACATCAGGAACAATTGGACCAAGCCACAGCAAAACCCCCCGAGGAGCGCATGCCTTGCCTATGGAACTGAAGTCTAAATGCTGCTGGTTTCAATTTCTGCCCACCAGAGGGGAGCAGAAGAGAAATTAGCCTGGAAAAATGTATTTTTGTTTAAAAAAAAAAAAAAAAAAAAAAAAAAGAAAAAGACAACGATATAAACCCCAAACCCACCTCTCCCTGCTCATACACATACACAAATAGCACCAAGAAGGCCAGGCACAAATATTTCAGAATCAGCTGTGAAGTTCAGCAGCAAAGGTTGGATGCACAGATTGTAGCCAGGGTATTTTGCGGAGCCGCCCGCTGTCCTCCCCAGCTCCTCTCCTCCCTCTGCTCCCCACCACTCTCTCAGCACACCACACATCTGACATCCTATGCCTGGGGAATTCATTTCAGTTGCCCGGGTCTGATTTCTAATTATGATGCAGGATGCATGGTTATAAATTTCCTATGGGATACTCATTATATAGAGCATATGAATGTGCTGTAATCAGGCGTATTTGTTGCTATGGAAAAACACAGCAAGCATGCAGAGCCTTCTGTGTGGCATCTTTAGTGTCCCTGCACTCGGAGTACTTGGATTCCTTGGCAGCGTGTGGCATAGCAACATGTTATCTGGCACAAAACCCAAGGACATTACAAGTTTCAACTGGAAAACTTGCAGGGCTCGTTAGCCCGCTGCATTTTCAAGGGGTGTTAGACTTAATGATTTTGCATTATTCCCTTTTAAAGTGAAGAGATCAAAGAAAATAGCATGGGCAGCATGAGGTTGTAACTGTGACCTTTCCCTCCTCCTTCCTAAAGCCTCTTGTCTTACTCTCATATACACCAGCCACATCCATTTTAGGAGGGGAAACAGCATTGTGTGACAGTGTATTCAAACTTGCCATGCTTAAATAGAGCTCAGCTTGGCTTTCTGTGCCCAAGTACACAGGTATTAGCTTGAACACTACATAGGGTAATGCCCAGGTAGCACATGCTGTGCTTAAAAAAAATTAAAAAAAAATGGGAAAGGAAAAGAGAAGAGAATAGAAGCACCATGCTTATTAATTAAATCCTCTGTTAATCCCTTCTAGAAGTGGCTGGTGGAGGTGGGGAGGGTGCCCAAGAGCAGTTCTCCCTGCACTACTGAATTACTGGGTCTTGGTGGCACACGGAAGCGCTCAGACCATTTGTTTTATGCCTCCCTTATTTTAAAGCACTTAACCCTAGGCCAGGCCCACAGAGCTGGAGCTCGTTCCTCAGGGGCTCACGCAGTCTCCATAGGCAGGCAGAGGCAAAGCCATCTCGCCCTGCAGCATGCTCGCCTGCTCATCCAAAGCCTGTGCTGCACCTGCATCAGGTATGGCTTTCCCCATGATTGCCCAGGCAGTGGGACTGGCTGCAAACTGGAAGAAATAGTAAGGGACACATAACAGCTTCTTACGATTACTAATATTTGCTCAGGGCATGATCCAGAGTCCGCTGGAGGAAATGGGGAGAGAAAACTCACTTCCATCACCTCTGAGTAATAGCCAGTTCCCTAGTTCTCGAGGCTTTGACCCAGAGACAGCTTTTCAGTGGCAGTGTGCTTGATGTGAGAAGTGAGATGGTGTAGCTGCGAGGAGCTGCCAATACCGTATCGATGGCTAGAGCAGCTGCCATGTGAAAAGCTATCAGAGCTGCCCAGCAGAGCCTCGGTGGTGAACCGGGGATCATTAGCACCGTGCTCCTTATTCCTGGGAGAAAATTCACTGCAGCCCTGGGAAATTCCTATACCCTCATTTGTGGCAGGCAATTTAGAATATATTGTCTGGAAATAAAGAGGGCCAGGCAGGCTTAAGCTGTCATAATAACCACCCCTGCTTAAACACTTAAATGTTAAATGCAGATGCAATGAACAGTGGAGTGTTTTTTCTCCAAAACATGAGTCTACCCATATTGTATTACAGCAGCACTCGCATCTCTGTTCACCTCAGGCTGGAGGAGAGATCTAATTTGTACTTGTTAGCTTAGCCTTGCTGTCCCTATGCAATGAATAAAGATAGAACAAATTAATCTCTATTTTCTTCTCTAAATTGGGCACCAGTCCATTGGACTGAGTGGTGTTAAGCAGGGCTGCCACCAACTATTTTTGTGATTTCTATCAAGACTAGCAACTCCTACTTCAGGAGAAGGATTTTGGAAAAACAGAAGTGAGAGAAAGAGGTGTTGAAGTCGTCAGGCTCAGAGAGATGCTCTGCCCTCCCCAGCTTCCTCCGTCTCCATTTCTTCACCTGAACTCCCTGGGGATAAAACCATGCTATGGGCACCAAAGATGGGGCTGCCCAAGCCAGGAACAGCTGCTTCTGCAGACAACCAGAACAGGACCCCACCAGCTTGTTCTGCTTCAGAAATCAGTCCTTCCTTGCCTGATTCCCACACAGCCATCAGGAGCTGAGACCTTTCGGAAGGACTGTGCATGCAGAGGTGGCAACAGGAACTGTAGCTAGACAGGAGGTTGAAGGTGACACACTGGCCACAAAGGCATCCATATCATGCTGGGTTTGGTGACAGAGCTGAGAAATCCCATACAATAGGAAATCCAAGCAAGTGAGTATCAGATGGAAACCTCCCCATCTGCATGTCCCATACATGAGTTGACCAAAAGGGATGGTCTTACCATGCAATCCTCTGCTAGGAAAGCCACCAGACAACCAGAGAGTGATGGATCTGCCCAGATTCAACCAGCCTGTGCCACCGGTTGGCTTTTGCTAGCCTGAGTGTAAGAAGTTGGGAGCGTTCCAGTTCTCATGGAAAATGCCGTAGAAAGAGGTTTCCTCATAGTGCAAGCCTCTTCTACCTGTCTGGAAGAGGCTTCTCGCTCAAAGACTGGCTGCCTGGAGAGGAACATGCAGCCAATGCAGGATGAGGCCAGCCAGTGTCACTGCCATTCTTGTGCCTTTTTTCCACTACTGTTTACTTATTACCCACAAAAATCTGAGAATCTTGGGGTACTTCATCAAACCAAATTACCACCAATCCTGTTGCTTTTGAAGACCGGTACCCAGAAAGTAAAGACTAACAGGGTTCTTCCCAATCCCAAATGAGGCATTGGAGAAGTCAGGGCTCAGCCTGGGCTTGCTGCCCCACTGGGAGAGGTGGTGGTTCCTCCAGACAGCTACAGCCTCCAAACCCATTTTCTCCAAAACACAGGC